TTTGATTAGCATACTTTGTTCGCTGCATAAAGCCCAGGAACAGAGCCATTTACAGGCTGTTCTTCCCTACAGGGAGACTGAAGCAAGGAACACGTTTTGCAGGTATGAATGCAAATGGTTGATTGCCAAAGCTTGCCATTAGATGCCTCTTACTGGACCAGGTTGAAGACAGATTCTCCTGGAGAAAATAGATCTATATTATGGCTAAGAGTTGACATTAACTTGCAGGCACATAATCATCAATCAAAATAGATTCAGAAGCAGATGTCTATATGTGGCTTGCTTAAATAGTTGTGGGGATTGTTGCCTCCCAAAAGAATGTTCTCATCTTTTTCCTTATTCTGCTTAATAGCACCTCCAGAATTCTGAGACAATAGAAGACACCACATATCTAAACCTGGAAATTGAGGTTTTCTGCATTCAAAGCACATTTTCATATTGATCTACCATTGCTTACCTATCTCTTTTCAAAGAGCTAACTTAACAGCTTGACTGTAGTCAAGTTTTTCTGGGAACAGGGTGGACTAGCTATTGCTATCCCAAGTAACCTAAAAATGAAGCAACTTCTAAGGCATGAATTTTATTATTGTCTCTTCTGATTTGCCAGCAAGTATACTCTGCTTCTTGCAGAAATTTAACTTAAGTGTGCACTGGTCTTTTTATGTACAATCTGAAAATTCAGTAGTGTAGGTTAAAAAAGGGGGAGATGCAGTGACCTAACAGTTGGGCTTCCTGAGCAAAAGGTTGGCAGTTTGAGACCCAAGCGCCACATCATCATGTTCTTGCCACAGCTCCTACCTACCTAGCAATTTGAAAGCAAGGAGATAAATAAGTACCACTTCAGTGGGAAGGTAATACCGTTCCATGCACCTTGACCTATAGCTGTGGTGGCAAACCTATGGCACGCATGCCACGTGGCATGCAGAGCCCTCTCTGTGGGCACGTGCACACTAGGCCTTCAGCTGGTTCTATAAAACCTTTTCGCTTTAGGCCTCCGCCGCCGTGTGCAAAAAAAAAAAAAAGGTTCAGTCAATCAATTTCAATTTCTCGAGGGAAAAAAAAGATCTCGCAACGTTGGAATTGATTGATTGAACTTTTTAGTCCCACCCAGTCTGCCATTACCACCGAAGCCATGCCCACCCAATGGGCCATGCCCACCCAATTAGCCACATCCACCCAATGGGCCATGCCCTCCCGGCACCTGATGATATATAAGTGGGTTTTGGGTTGCAGTTTGGGCACTCGGTCTCTAAAAGGTTCGCCATCACTGACCTATAGCCATGCTGGCCACATGACCGAGAAAGCATCTTCAGACAATGCTGGCTCCCTCTGCTAGGAAACGGAGATGACACTGCCTCCAAGAGTCGGATATGACTGGACAGGAATAACCTTTACCTTTAGACTAAAAAAAGTAATTTGACTTCATTTAATGTGCATGAAAACCTAATTAAAATTGAGTCAGATTAATTCAATTCAGCTAATAGAGTAAAATCTACTGGTGGTGGCATCAGGACCAGCTCTGCTCACCCCAAGATAAGAGACTAACAGGAAATGATTGGGTTGCTGGCTAGATTGAGAGAGGGGAAAAAATACACTGGCAAAGGCAACAGCAAAACATTTCCATAGTACTGCCAATAAATCTATACAAACCCATCCATGTAGTCACCATGAGTTGAACTTGAGGGTGTCTGTATTGTAATATGATAATGCCTGATCTATTTTATAATTGTTCTCATCACACGTTGTAGGTGAGCTGCAGATGGAGAGTCTCAGGGGGTGACCTTAAGTGAAGATATAGTTATCAAATGTAGGGTTTTTACCTAGTGTTTGTCTACTGAACAGAGTAGCCTGGCTGATTACTACAAGCTCTTGAATTTATCTGCAATTTCTTGGCTGTGTCAAGAGAGCTGCAATCTCAGCTCCTGGGGCTGCATCTCCCAGAAAGACATATGAAGCTGCAGTATACCGAACCTTCAAGTTATATATTATCTTTACATCCAGAACTACTCTCTGCTACTTAAATTTATTTATTTATAATCCAGAGTCTCTGTGCTTCAACTTGAGGTTTTCTTTTTTCTTTTGGCTATTATGCTGCAATGATATTCTATAATTTATTTAGGAACTTACATTGTAATCACCCAGAAAGAGTTTTTGCAAACAATGTTAGGAGCTTGTTTTTCTCATCTACAATCTTGGCAACCTTTTTAGATTTTTCTGCATTGAACTATGTGGATAATGTAATTTTGCAAGTGTATCATTCACGAAGATTACATAAACGTGTATTACCTTTAAGAGCATATGGGTTGTTCAAACAGAGTAATGTGCTGAGATCCAGTGTGGGTCACTGAATTTGTGTCCAGTTTTCTTTTTTTTTCAATATTCACCTGATCACTGCAAAAGGGAGTTGTTTTGGGTGAGATAGGCAGCTATGTGAATCTGAGTGCTGAATAAGTACAGTCAGAAGTTTTATTGTTAAATAAATTTTATGACCTTTTTTTTGCTGGGGTTGTTAAGTGATTCACTGTTAATGAATCAGGCAGTCGTTAAGCAAATCAAACTTCCCCCATTGACTTGGCATGTCAGAACACAGCTGGGAAGATTGCAAACAGTGATCATGTGATCCCAGGATGTTTCAACCATTGTAAATACAGGCCAATTGCCAACTATCTGAATTTTGATCATGTGACCATGGGGATGCTGCAACAGTTGTTAAATGTGAGGACCAGTTTTTTCAGTGCTGTTGCAAGGCGAAGACTTCCTGTATTGCATACCCAAGCAACTGCTTTGATCTCAGAATGTGTTATTAAAATTCCCAGCTCCACATTATCCTGGGTGTGACTTGAAAGAACTTGAAAAGAAACTAATTCATACTTTATTTTTGCTTTTAGAAAAATCCACCTTGGAAGAAGCGTGTTTGAGTTGCGAGTGGCAAATTTTGATCTTCCACCCCCCCCCGCCCTAATGGCGTTATTTTTGCAGGTTTGTTTAATTTAATTTTCAATATTTAATCATGAGATCCTTCAACCACTGGAAATGGACTGAACCTCACTGACTTTCAGTCCCTAATGAAAAACAGTTTCTGCAAGGTCAAAACAAGATCTGCATGATAGTGTTTCTGAACACTAAAAATATTGTAGACATGCTAAATAAAGCCAGAGAGCTGCAAGAGATTCCATGGTATAAAAATAAATAAGCTGATTTATACATGGGAAAGGCACAGCAAATGGACTCATACTGGATTGGCCACTATATTGACAGGCAATAGCTTTTCAGGATTTCTGGTAGAAATGTTTCCAGACCAATCTGGAGATGCCAAAGGTGGAATTTTAACCCTTTTTCATGCAAGGTTTCAGGCATACACTAAGCCAGGGGTCTTCAAACTTGGCCGTTTTATGACTTGTGGACTCCAACTCTCATAATTCCTCAGCCAGGCATGCTGGCTGAGGAATTCTGGGAGTTGAAGTCCACAAGTCATAAAAGGGCCAAGTTTGAAGACCCCTGCACAAGCTGCCTCTCTGTTTGCTACAGTTATGTTATCCAAAAAAGGTCTACCTATTTTGTGTGAACTATTTTCTTCTTTTTGAGGATTCCCAGAATTTGAGATAGTTGATAGGTGATTTCCTTTCATTCTGTAATGTTTCCTTCCAGATGTAGTGGAGCTACAGCTAATAATAGCCTTCAATAGTGGTCACAAAGAATTGTCATCCAGTAACATTTGGAGACTATGGGTTTTTCACTCCTGATTTAATCCGACATGAACAAAGAGAACCACATACAGTATGTTAGGGCTGCCATACCTATGTTGCAAAAATTTGGATGACCACTAGACAGTTATACAGAGATACTAACAAATCACATTGGACTATCATCATCTAGACATTTTTCTACATAGATGTGCTAGCCAGATATATTTTCTCATTCTCCTCTGGTTATTTGATCTTAGATCCCATTGAACCCTATCAGAATGACTAATGGTAAACATTATTAGAAGATTTCTCTTAAGTACAATAATGTATATTCCATCTTCAGATGATGGTGCATGGAAATAAGCATATAGTGCACCAACTAGGAGCCGAGGTGGCGCAGCAGTTAGAGTGCAGTACTGCAGGCCACTTTAGCTGACTGTGTTCAGCAGGTCAGCGGTTCAGATCTCACCGGCTCAAGGTTGACTCAGCCTTCCATCCTTCTGGAGTAGGTAAAATGAGGACCCAGATTGTTGGGGGCAATTTAAATATATATATATACATTGCTTACTGGTGTACACCGCTTAGAGAGTGCTTGCACTTAAAGCGGCATATAAGTCTCATAGATAAATAAATAAATAAACTTATTGGTCCATCTAGCATAGCATTAGCTCCACCAATCCAAAGTTTCTTTCCAATCTTACGTATGAGGCTTAAAGCAAAGAATTTCTCCATGAGAAAATGTACTCTATCATTACATCATGACTCCTCCAAAATAAATAGTTCTGAGACACGCACTGAAGTTTCTCACATTTTTTTTTTACTGTGCCCACAACATAGTAGTTTCCATCATGAAAATGCAAGCCAGGAAAAAAAAATTACAGTTGTTCAGCATTTTGAGTAGAGATCCATTTCTATTTCCAGTGCACTAAGTGTTACATACACAGCCACACGACAATTTAAAAACAATAATGGTAGACTCTGGTTCCCAATTTAGATTCTGGACAGAAATCGGCATTTTAGATTATCTGTTATGATGCTGAGCTTTTCGGCTGGATAGCCGGCAGTCCAGACTTGAGTACCACACGACGGGGTGAGCGCCTGTCCTCCGCCCGAGCTCCTGCCATGCTAGAAGTTCCAAAGCATGCAAGTGCAAGTAGGTAAATAGGTACCACTTTGGTGGGAAGATAGCAGTGTTCCATGCACCTCAACCTATAGCAGGGATAGGCAACCTTGGCTCTTTTATGACTCGTGGACTTCAACTCCCAGAATTCCTGAGCCAGCCATGCTGGCTCAGGAATTCTGGGAGTTGAAGTTCAGGAGTCATAAAAGAGCCAAGGTTGCCTATCCCTGACCTATAGTAATGCTGACCACATGACCATGGAAATTGTCTTTGGACAATGCTGCCTCAATGTCCTTGAAATGGAAATGAGCACCACCTCCTATAGTCGGCACTAATTAGTGGAGTAAAATCTGCAGTGACTCCTTTTTTACTAAATGTTTGCAAGCAGAGGTAAGGGCGCATAGGCTATAGCCATACCTACAGCCATCATTTTGCTTTTCTGTCTTATAAAGTCTAGAAGCATTTCCACCTCACTTGCTAGCAAATTAGCACTGCAGGCAAGCAAGAAAAAATGTGTACAGTAAGAAGATTCTATACTAAATCTTTCCAGCATGAAAATAGTAGCACCAGGCAATTCTGTAATGACCTGAGTGGAAAAAATAAAATAAAATAAAATGGAAAATCTAGGATCCAAAAGAAAGCAGCGGTTTTTTAATCCACATTCTAAGTATTTTTTTCTTGATTCTCAGGACATCAGTATAAACAGAAGAACCGTGCAGGAAAATTAAATGAAAAATAAAAAAAACTAAAAAAAAGAATGTAACATTCCAAGGGTAAACATCCCATGTGAACATTACCACTCAGTCAATTCCAGTTTGGTCCTGGGAAATTTCTACAATAGCTACTTCCAGAGAGACACTTAATATATGAACTTCCTTTTTATTTGATACTTCTGATGGATAGGACGTCTCCTTTTTTAAAAAATTGTACCATTTAATCTCCTCTTGAGAATTGGCGTATATCCTACAGCAGAAGGGAAGTGTGGGGCTGTAGCAAAAAAGAACAGTAGGCTAATTTCTATTATACTTGTGATTATTTTGGGTAATTTATTCTGTGTAATCCTTTGACACTATAGCAACAGAAAATTGCTGAGAAATGTGAACATTCTTTGACTTCTTTAGAACTTGGATTAACATTAATTAATAATAAATTGATGTCACCAGAAAAAAATAATAATGATTTAGCAATCCCAAATAATAGGCCTTTAAATGGACACAAAAGCCTTGGTCTTGCATGTTCCCAGATAACACACATGGGACAATTTATCTATACTTTATTTTTCCATGAATAATCCTGGCAACTGAATGTATATGTGAATATGGAATATTCTGGATTCGGAATAGTTTAGATTGCATTTCCCAACCCCGTGTCACTTAATGATACTGTCCTAAAGTTCTAATAATCCAGAAATCCTAATCAAGGAGAAAAGCAACGTAGGACTAAGGAGAAACTTCCTGACAGTGAGAACAATTAACCAGTGGAACTGCTTGACTTTAGAAGTTGTGGGTGCTCCATCACTGGAGGCTTTTGAAAAAAGACTGGACAGCCACTTGTCTGGAATGGTATAGATGAACTCTGTTTTAATGATCTATATATTATTGTTTTAAAGTGCTGGTGAGAATTGCCATGTTATTTTTTCTTTCTTCCCATCAAAACCTGTGGCTCCCAAGTTAGTAATGGTTAAAATAAATCCCCTTTTTATGAATTTATGTGATTAGGCCCATACCTTTCCCTAAACCATGGCTGGGTTTAAGCAACACTTTAAGCTGAAGCCAAGACACCCCTGCGTGGCTTCTGAATGTACTTTGTTACTACATTTGCCTAGATCCAATCCACTTTGTTTTAATTTCTAATGGCCCCATTACCTGTTCGCTCATCACTTGATTTTCTAGGAGACAACGTATGAAATATAAACACATGAGCCTGCCAAGAGTTTCACATAAATTGAGGATTTCTCATTAATCTGAGTGTTGAGGAATTTTCTATACAACTCTTTATGAATGAGGATAATTTTTCAGTGCTGAAACTAGTAGAAGACAATCAGGTTTTATTGTACTGGGATCCATTCATAAATGGAAAACATTCAGAACTTTGCATTGCCATGATTTCCTGGTTGGCTCAGGTCTTTAGGACTATAAACCAAATTCAAATATTCTGGATTAACAAGAAAGTACTGCATTCCTTTTTTAATAGTATACTCATGAGGAAAATATCTGATAGAAAATAAGTAACTGGCAGATCAGTGATTTCATTTAATTTGTAGAGGATTGATGTATGGTTTGGTAATCTCAAGGAAAGCAATTTAATCTAGCTAAAGTCAATTGAAAGAAAGCTCTGTGCCCTACTATACCACAAATATTAACAAATTTAATAACAATCCTCTTTTCCCAAAGTTACTCTATTAAGTCTAAGGTAGAGAAAGACAATTTTGAACGCTCAAAATGCATTATAATTCTCAGCATTCTTGATGGGAAGGCATAAATTAAATTGGCCTTAAGTCAATAAAACTCAGCAGTATAGCTAGGCCTGTTGGGGAAAGACAGTTATATTCAAACTTTAAAAAGTAAAAATTCAAGTCATGGCTTAGATATAAGCTCCCATTGCGTCAATTGAGTCTTTATGCTACTCACAATTTCACAGGACCACAATCATTGCATTAATAAAAAGGTGAGGGTCAAGTTAAAAACCTTCATGTCATATCCCTCCCTCTCAAATTTCTCTATTAGCTTACACTGCAGCCTTGTCAAATTTATCTTCACAATGCAGAGTTATTCTGCAATAAAAAAGCTGACAATTAAAAAAAGCACTTGCAATGAAAGCTGGAACATATATTAATGGTTGTCTATTGTGGGATATATTGCAAGAATGTTTTTACGCCACTGATCATTACAAAAAGAAGGGCTAGATAATTTGAATTAAAATAGCAAGATACAACAAAACCTTTAAAAGAGTAAGAAATCAAATCTGAATAACTTGAAGGAGTCCAGTCCCAAGGGACACCAGTTCTACTTCCCATAGAATCCAATGGGACGGCAATCGCCTTGGATGGAAGTCTTTCCATGGTTTCCATCTCTACAGAGTTTGACCTGATTTGAACTTTATTGACCTTCCTGTTGTGACCCACTGAAAATGCGGACCTTTTGTGATCAAACCGCCAACACGAAAACACACTGTAAAACTGGAGAACTCCCACCAAAATGGCGGAAGGTCCTCAAACATCTTCTCCATTTTCACTGATGGAGACAGTATGTATTTTAATGGTGGGTATTTGCTGGTCCTTTGGGTTTTCTCCTGATGTGTTTGCACAGCAGCACTCTCTCAGGAAACCTTTGCTTTTCACTTTGGCCCTAGAACAGCTGGACCTCTCTTTCAGAGCACTGCTCTTGGTTGACATGCTTTGCATGGCTGAAACAAGTTTCCATTCACACACGCCATCCGATTTGGAAATTTTATAGAAGTGTTCTCCAGAGCCAACAGGTATACGTACGATATCTTTGGGAGCTTCAGCAATGTGGTTGCTTGGGTGATTGAGAGTGAAGCTCAAGGAGTATTTGTTGGAGGAATACTTCCTGCGGAGACACTGGGCTCTCAGGACATTTTGGAATGCTTTTTTAAACTCTTGACTCGAACAAGGGTAAATGATGGGGTTGATGCAGCTGTTTAGATAGCCAAGCCAAAAGGCAATTTTAAAAATGGTTTCGGAGGGCTTGCTGTTAGGAAAGAAAGAACCTGAAATGGAAAGAAAAGCAAAACAAAGAATATTAATGGATTTATAAGCAACTTTAGAGGATCAAGGGGTAAGAAATCAAAGTGAATTTTTTTTTCAAAATTTCTAATTGTGAGCCATTATGAGTCATCATTCTGGGCAAAAAAAAAAATGTATGTGGAGTCTTTGGTGCTTTCTGAGCTTGGTTGTTTGGTTGCCAACATTTCATTACCTGACAATGTAATATCATTAGTATACGCTGTGTCTTATCTAGGTGAGTAGTGTGTAGTGATGATGTTTCTTAGTTGGGTAGTGAAATATCTTCAAGAAAACAATCAAACTCAGAGGCCACTAAGGGCTCCACAGTTCATCCTCGAGCTACAGATATTCTCTTCTATTGGAATTGGGAAAAATATTTCAGAACATAACATAAAAAAAAATCCAGCTAAATGTTTTAAGTCCCTATTTATTTTGCCAGGAGAGGTTGAAAGATTGAAATTGATACAATCGATAGGCTTAATTCTGTCTGAATTTTATTCCATTTCATTCTATTTAGTTGCATTACCAATGATCTGTATAATGGCCTATACATAGAAGCAAAATACACATAGCCTTATTTAATGAGATTACCTAGGAGTAGGGAACTAGATGTAGATACTGATACTGATACTACTACTACTACTATTACTAAAGTTGGAAGGGCCTTAGAGGTCATCTAGTCCAACCCCCTGCTCAGGCAGGAAACCCTATACCATTTCAGACAAATGGCTGTCCAGTCTCTTTTTAAAAACCTCCAATGTTGGAGCATTCACTGCTTCTGGAGGCAGGTTGTTCCACTGATTAACTGTCAGGAAATTTCTCCTTAGTTCTAGGTTGCTTCTCTCCTTGATTAGTTTCCATCCTTTGCTTCTTGTCCTGCCTTCAAGTGCTTTAGAGAATAGCTTGACTCCCTCTTCTTTGGGGCAGCCCCTGAGATATTGGAACACTGCTATCATGTCCCCCTTAGTCCTTTTCTTCATTAGACTACACATGCTCAATTCCAGCAACCATTTCTTATATGTTTTAGCCTCCAGTCCCATTATCATTATGTCATTGTTGCACATAATTAAGCTTAATCCAAGTGAAGTAGAAACCATTTTCACTGCAAATTTTGGCTACAGAACCTCGCTATACCTGAATCATGTTCATTACACACTACAAGTATTACAAAGCAAACATCATTCTACTTCAGACAGCCAAAGCATCCTATAGAAGTCTTAGACAAAAAAAAAATACTACTTGATAATAAGCCCTTGGTGCTCTCTGAGCCTGGTTGTTTTCTGGCAGACGTTTCATTACCCCAACTAGGTAACATCATCAGTGCTAGTGCTAGCACTTATGATATATTACCTAGTTTAGGTAATGAAACATCTGCCAGAAAACAACTAGGCTCAGAGAGCACCAAGGATCCCTCATTTCAAGCCTGAGCTACAAATATTCTTCTTTATTAGTAATAAGCCCTTGGATTTATGGGAGTCAATTCTGAGCAAACCTGCATGGAATTGTGTTGTAGAGACAGGTTTTATTTCAGAGGATCACGTTTCCTTTAAAATCTACCCGGTGCTACCTTTCCTGTGTGGTGTATCAGCACACCTATCAGAAGAACTTCCAAGAGACTTGGAAGGAGAACGTGAATATGAGTTCAAAAGAAGCTAAATTGGCTGGAAGTAATTTTAGATGAACAGTACATGACCTGCTTATCGGCTTACAGACAGGTTGTGCTTCTGAACTGCTGCCCAATTGCATGAATCATTTCCAACATCTGATCTGTGAGACTGGGATGACAGTGATGGAGGATCAAGCTTTGCAGGTGATCCATTGGGTTGCTAGTGGGAGGGGAACATGAAGGGCGTGGCACTATCAATCAACCTGGCTAAGATTGCTTATGTTGAGACACTGGTGTGAAGAGAAACATAGGTACTAATCCCCACATCTTAACTTGTCCTGCAGTAAATGATTGGTACCAACCAGAATTTTGTTACTGAGGCTATTCAGGTGAAGCAAATATTTCGGACTGGAAGAAAAGATGTTAAAATGGCCTTTTGGATCATTCAAACTAGATGTGTCCTAAGTAGTAGACGTAGAATAACATTTATCAAACATAATATACAAGCAGACCGATATATTTGCAGAGCACAGCAGTAATGGCCAGATAGATCTAGCGCTATAATTATTTTGCTTAACACTGAGCTTTAATGTCTCCTCATATCTCAAATGCACAGGTCTGATATTGAAATCAATAGCTGAATTATTAGACCTTTCATTAGCTTAAAGTGAATAGAAAGGAAGATGGGAAAAACAGAAAGGCCAGGTTTTAGAGAGGCCAGATAGTCTGAACTTGTTAAAGGTAAAGAGATTCAGAAACTGAGATAATAACTATTTACAGTTGTTTCTGCAAGAAAAGTGGTTAACGCTTATAATAATTAAACTAAATACAAAGTTAAGAGGCATTCGGTAAGGCAGCTTTTTAAAAGGCTATTGTTTCCATGCAGTTTAATTGACTATTCAGTTTGAGCATTAATGGTAAATTTCAGCATTGTACGATGACATTCCCAAATGCTTCAAGTTTAAATCAGCATACAGTATAGGACACTTCAGAGAGTTCTAATGGAATTTAATAATCATTCCTAATTTCAGCCCCCTTTTAAAAAGACTCTAAGGAACATCTGCAAACCTATTTTCATCTTTCCATTCTATGCTGTACAAACTGGACGTCTTAATCAGTTTCTTTCTATGAAACTCATAGAAATTGGTTGCTGGTAGCCTGCCAAAATAAACAGAAACGTGGTGAATTAATTTCATCTAGGTCTTAAAATGCTGGATTGCTTTCCTTTATTAAAAAGGCCAAGAGGTAATATTTCAAGAATTTGGTAAGAGACAGTGGGATTTAGGGAGTTGCTATTCGGCAACATCTGGAACAGCTCAGGTGGCTGAATTAGGGATTTAAAGAGTAAAATTATCATTCTTAATAGGATCCAGAAACAGATGGGAAATCAATGAAGATAGTTTGGAGAATTAATCCCCTGCTGTCTTGGAGTCATCAACTGGATGTTATATTTTGCATCAGAATAAGTTTTTTTTATTTATTTTTTCAAATCCCACAAGTTATTTATTTTGTTGTGTATCTGTCCAAGGTTTCTTACCCATCTTTATGCAAAAGTCTTCAGGCGATCTCTTTAACAACTCTATTAAAACAAGACTAGAACAGAAATATGCTATTATAAAATAGCAAAATCACAATTGGGATGGTTCACCATGACCATTCATGGTTTAATGATATGCTTAAATGGATCAAAGGCCCAGTGGCTGCCTTTAGGCTTAATTTTAACCTTGGTAAGTTTTTTTGTGGCTTAGTAATGGTGTGTGAGCACAAACTGTTCAGTTAATTCATGATTTAATGTTTGTAAACGTAGAAAAATGTGCTAATTCAGTAACCAAGTATATTGCATTAATCCAGCAATTGTCACATAGCATGGTTAATGCATGAGGATGACTAATTCCAAAGCATATTATTGTCAAGTGCCAGGGTAATCAGGAGATTCAGGCAGTTCAAATGAGTATAAAGATTTATTACAGTCTTAAGCTCTCTACAAAAATCTGACCTACTAACAGTCAAGAAAAATGGATGGGCATAAAAGCATTCAAAGTGGGCCAGACTTAAATTTCTTGTGGGTGCTCAAGGACTCATCGTTTATGATGCGTTTGACTCTTCCCTCGGCTCATCCTGGTCATCTCCTACAATTATAGGTTTACATGAGATGGTGCACTCAATGGCATATGTGACAAGTATGTGTGGGTATATCAGAGAGAGAGAGAGAGAGAGAGAAACCAAGTATGTAGTATTAGAAACTAGAAATGCAATAGAAAAATAGCACTTTGCATGAACTCATTCAGGTCAACATCAAGATATTAGGGGAATGTTTATTAGCCATGCAATCTTGAAACTTTTTAGCCTGAATGCTGAGAGCAAAACTTGGGTCTTTGCCTAAGCAAATATCGTCTTCGCCATGCTGAATTTATCCCTCTCCCCAAAAACTTTTAAAATACTGTTATATTATCTTCGTTTCTGCCTGAGTTTGCATTGAGTGCTCAAGGGCAGCTTTTAACTCCGACACTGAAAGAAGTAATTATAATGTGGAAAGCAAAATGGCACAGAGCCAAGCCCGTCTTTCAAATTCTCTAGCAGTGGTGGGTGGTGGGTAGGAAAGATATGTAGAGGTAAAGTAACTCCCATCAGAAAAATGGTTTCAGCTTGTTCTTAACACAAAATTAGCAATCTGTCACCCCCCTCTCTTAATAACAGTGCCATTCTATCTTCATGTAAGTAAAGAGTAAGCTAACAGGTGTATCAAACATTCTGATTACATCTTTGAAAAAGAGAGAGTGCACTTTGGATAATTTGCATCTTGTAAAATAAGATTATTGCCGCATTTTCCAAAGTGGGATCTTTCATGTGCTATGGAATTATTGCAGCATTTTCCAAAGTGGGATCTTTCATGTGCTATGGACTAAAACTCCCACCATCCTTGAATGTCTTTAAATAAAATAGAATACTTTATTTAGCCAGGTGTGATTAGACACACAAGGAATTTGTCTCCGGCACATAAGCTCTCAGTGTGTGTACAAAACAACAAAAAAGTAATAATCATAATGATACCAATAAGAGAAGCTAGTAGAAAAGATGAGGATAATAGTAATACAGCCATACTACATGGGTAAATATACTTAGACATAAGACAGTATGTCTTGTGTCTAAATATATTAATATATAATATTAAGTATATTAAGATATGTCAGTAGTGACATATGTGGGCTCATACTGTCACATCAATGCCCTGACTTGCATACTGTGTCAACATGTATGTGTAGGATTATGGTAATTGTATTATGAAGTTAGCACATATGTGTGTCATTTTATTTATTAGATTTCTATGCTGCCCATCTCATCTAGAGGTGACATTTGATTTTATTAGGGTTTGTTCCA